TTCATGTGACCACATAAGTTCTATATGATAAATCACTTAAATTTGATTTGACACATAACCCGAGCAAAGCTGGAGATCAAATTGAAATCAAAATGTGCTGTTATGATGTAACTTATTATGAATACTCCAGTTGATCTCATTTTGGTTGACTTAACGGTTAACACAGCAAAAATGAGAGCAAAATTTTACATTGTTGAATCAAACGGAAAACTGATCCTGCTTTCAATGAAATCAATTAGATTATTGATTTTGTATTCATAATATTTAACTGAATACGGGTCTGGTTTGAATTGTAAGCATCCATGATTCTCACACTAAAAGACTTGAGTTCAACTCTCACCCGGACAAGTCACGAATGACCTAAAATGTGTTAAACAAAACGAATTGACAATAATTGTTAGTTCAACGACAGATGAACTTATATTAAACTTTCAACAAGACGTTAGCAGCAGAATTTGAAGTTAAGTTGCTTTCATTTAAAAAGTCTTGGCCGCATAATGAAATTACAATATGATATCAGACTTCTGTCGCGACAGTTGAAATCAAAATTAGTTTTCATTATGATAGGAACTGCAAACTTTAATATCGATTTGCTTGCATTTTGTTAACCGACTTTGCTCGGGAAGGTTCATGCGATTTTGTGGTGCAATTCCCAATTATGATCCCAATCATCACATGAATGTTATGTGAAATTCTAATGAATATTTTCAATTGAATATGTGATTTATTCTTTGAGTGTATACTTCTAGAATAAGTAAATTTTTTGTCGATTTTTCTCATATTCGAAAGGATTTATGAGGCTCGGAAAATTTTACTCAGTCTACGTTTTCTAGAGCTTGAGTAATTTAAACTTAAAATTGAGTGGATCTTATATGCCATGTAGTGTGGAAATCCGTTAGTTACTTAGTACTGGTCTTTTTGCACACCAGCAGCGGGAGAACGAGCACATCTTAGTGAAAGATTCAACTTTCCACCACCTAAATATAGAGAAATCGACAATCAAAAGAGCAATTTATAAGCTTATTAATACAATTCTAAACACTTCGTGCTCAAAAAGTGTTGATGAATCGGGATCAGGGTTGCTTAAACGATTCAGATAGAAAAGAATATCGAAATAAATATCATTGAAAAAAAGAGAGTACTGTACAACGAAGCCAAGTACGATGAATTGGCACTAAACACGAATACTGTTGTAAAGATTTTACAAATACAGTTTTGAAATATTATATCAAGCAACATATTCATTACATGGATAAATATAACATAATTTGCTGATACCAACCTTTTTGCCTTTCTCGTACACCAAGGTGTACCGAAAGGCTATAATATCACTTGAAAAAACACAATTTCATTCCAAGACCCGGACAGATTCTGACATGCGCCGAAATGCATCGTGCGATATCTTAAATTACATGGAAATCAGCTTAATGATTAGTGCAAGTATTTATATTGATTTTCCATAAAACCTCATTGAAATTTATTTATGGAAGAGAAAAAGTGCGTATTCTTGATCGAGAAAGTGAAATTTTGTAATGTAAACAAAAATTTTCACTCACTTTTAACGACGATAGCTTAACCGATTTGAGTGGAACTACTTTTATTTTCTTTGTTTGGTTCTCCCATATGACACTAATGAATTTTATCCCGATTGGGATATTGAGTTGCGGAGATATGGCCAAAAAAGTGAAATTTTGAAATAATTTAGTTAAACTCACTCGACTTTGGCTGAACCGATTTGAGTGGAACCACTTTTATTTTGTTATTTCGGCTCTCTCATAGGAGATATGGCAAATTTTTTTAAATAACTATTTCAGTAAAACTCACTCACTTTTCTCGACGAAAAGTTGGAACTTTTCAGATTTTTTTCTCTGGAAGTGTCAGAATACTGGGGGCATTGCAAGACGGATTAAGATGAATGGAATAGGATGGAAACACACTGTCCGTTTCATTCACTTTTTCAGTGACAGTTATTATAGACAGTCAAGTTATAGACCAGCCTACTTGAGTAAAGATGTAAAACAGTGTCCCCAAATAAATTTTAAAATTTTCCCTTAATTACAAAAGTTTGTAAATATCTATGAAAAAACTAAAAAGTCTGTAAATGTTTGTAACGAAAAAAAATGTCTTTGAAAAAATAAAAGTCTGTGAATTCACAGACATGTCTGTGAATCTGGCATCTCTGGCACAAACTATAGTTTGTATGGTGCTATCAAAGGGTTACCAATCGTGTTGCTTCCTTATTTGATTTTCACTTGGCACGCGAGACGCTGCGTCAGAGATTCCGTGATATAATTTTAAGAATTAGGAATTAAGTTGGACTTCACGGCCTTTGCAGCTTGTTACTTCTTGACTATATTGTATTTCCTAGTATTGCTTAATCCATCATTAGGACTAAACCCAGTCTGTTGATGAAGAACCAAATAAACAAATAAACCCGGTGAAGTGTTCAGTAATCACATTTTACAATTCCATTTAATTATGGATTTTAGGGTAGGTACTTCAATCGAACGTGTGGCTGGATTTGCAGTTAACGTACAATCAGCATATCGCATATGTTGCCGACACGGCGTCAAGGACATTTATTTATTTTTTCATTTCGTCAAACCAGTGTAAACTACATACAATGATTATGACAATGCTTACTAACATACTATGCATTAATTTGATTCTGTTTTAGCTTGCTGCTTGGACATAGTGATATTAATAGTTCCGCAATGCAAATTGTACAGGCACATAATTCCATTGATTGGGCTATTTTTTGCATAGTTTGTTCTGTACGATTTTTCAGAAAATAAATTCCGTATTCTAAGATATCGACAAGGTGTGTAAAAGTTTAATTGTGCGAGAATTTCTGCCGAATCATTGGGCTTCATCTTCAGAGCAACAACTGTTCGCTGGTGCGGTCGGTCCGTTCTGGAATGCTGTTCTGCAGTACCACTTCCCGAACTAGAACAATGGAGCTGAGAGAGTTGAGCTCGTTTAACGTCGTCTTCTCGGTTCGCTCTGCGGAAGCTACCCCAGAGAGACCCGTTTCGTTTACCGGAAACTGTACACCCAGATGCTGACGAAGCCTCATTGTCTCATCATGGATGATGAGACTTATGTCAAGGCGGACTTCCGGCAGCTTCCAGGGCTACTGTTCTTCACCGCCCAACACAAGTTTCCAAAGGAAGTAAGGAAGCAGAAACTTTCAAAGTTTGCCAAGAAATACATGATTTGGCAAGCGATCTGCTCATGTGGCAAACGGAGTGCGCCGTTCGTGACTACCGGGACTGTAAACGGGAAGATCTACCTCAAGGAGTGTCTACAGAAGCATCTGCTTCCTCTGATGAAGCAACATGAGGCCCCTACGATCTTCTGGCCGCACCTAGCTTCGTGCCACTATTCAAATGTTGTCCTGGAGTGGTACGAAGCCAACGGGGTCACTTTTGTACCCAAGGTCATGAACCCCTCCCCCTCCCCCAAAGCACTGGAACTAAGGCCCATAGAAAAATACTGCGCTATTATGAAGCAGGCACTACGGAAGCATCCCAAGGAGGTCAAATCTGAGGAAGACATGAAGAAAAAGTGGGCTTCCGTACAGAAGAAGCTGCAGCCAGATGTTGTACCGAACCTAACGAGTGCAGTTAAGCGTAAGTTGTTTTTATATTTCAAGGCAGACTTTTAAATCTAGGATAAGAAATAATTCGTGTTAATGTAAGTGTTAGTGTAATGTGAGTAATAAGTTTCTACGTAGTCTGTTTAAAAATGAAGCAAATTAAATAAATTAAATTAAATAAACTATGATTTTTTTCCTTTGGTTTGTTTTCCGTCGATCTTGTTTTCCGTGCTGAGCACCAATGCTACCGACGCCAGGGAGACAGCTCCCACACCTGGACCCTACCTATCGACCCATCAACTGAACCGGGGTCCAACGGCTTTACTTCCCTTCCGAAGGCGTGATCAGAGATGTTATGCCTCAGAACATCCCGGCGGTGCCGACTAGGATTGAACCCAGGCCTGCTGGAGTGAGAGGCAATAACGTTTACCACTACACCACCAGTGCCGCTAAATAAACTATGATAATTTAAACTAAAAGTATATTAAACTTAATTTACAAAACATTTGAGATTTCAAAATTCCGTTAAACCTTCGCTGAGGTATGATAATTTTATTTTGGGACCCCAAGGTACATACAACGGACGTTTGTTTTTGGCACAAACGAAGTAGTATTGGGGGTCGAACAAACTTTTCACTGTATTGTTGATTGTTAACGTTAACTTACATGTGTGTCACTCATAAACACAAAACCAAGCCTTTACTCAAGCTAATAGACCATATAGGCTTTGCCAGTATAAGTTGATAACGGATACGGAAAATCGATTCAACCTCAAACGAATTTCGATTAAAGAGTCTCTGACATAATACTTGATCCCAATCGTTAGCACACCTCCGGAAAGAACATTAAATACAACGTTGACGTTTATAGTTCGTATTTCTTCGCTAGAAAATGCCATGCCACCCATCCGCCTCGGTCTTGTCAACAATTTTCACGCTTCTTTTCCATTGACACAGTTCCTCTCTGCTGTCTGTTCCATCCACTATGTGTCTCCACCGACCTTCCTTCCGGTTCAAACGTTAGCATTAGCTTACACAAACAAAAGAGCGAGAAAAGCTTAACCTCTTTTGCTGTGTCGTACGCCGGCTTGATTAAGCCTCAACGGAACCGGACAGGCGACAGCTATGAATAAGAAAGTAAAACAACATCCAGTCATGCCATTCGTCGGCACCTAGAACGACTGGAAGCGGAAGCAAGGTTATCCTATTTCCACGTCACCTAGACTAAAAAATATTCTCTGTCGAAGGAAAAAAAAAACTCGCTGACGTGGGTAGAACGGGAGTCGGGAAAAGCAATTATATTTTCCATAAATTACCAAACACGAGTCGCTCACTCGCGATCCTAATTCTTAGCCTGCAGTGTTAATCCGTTTTTGTATTCCGTTTTTTTCTACTGTTCACAGGAGGAAGGATGGAAGTTGAACCGTACCAACTACTACCAGGAAGGATGGCTTGCTACCGGTAACGTACGGGGGATTGTTGGAGTTACCTTTACAACGTCGCACTGCAAGAAGAACGTGGAATATCCCCTGCGGACAAACTACAACCTTCGGGGGCACCGTTCTGATGTAAGGATTAGCCCAACTTCTCCCTCCCCTTTCCTTCCCCATTTACCATGGATTCAACCCTGTTGAGCTAATCTAATGTGTTTGCTTTTATTTCTCGTTTCATTTCGTCGACTCAACGTAACAGGTAATTCTGGTAAAATGGAATGAACCGTACCAGAAGTTGGCAAGCTGTGATAGCTCCGGTATCATCTTCGTGTGGATCAAGTACGAGGGCCGGTGGAGCGTTGAGCTGATAAACGACAGAAACACGCCGGTAACACACTTCTCCTGGTCGCACGACGGTAGGATGGCGCTTATATGCTACCAGGTATGTACGGCAATGATGCAACGGGTATAACTCAGAAAAAAATAATATCCTACGACGCGCGAGTTTGCTATGTAATCAGTAATTGACGTACTGAAAGTGCTGCGCATAAAATGTCAATTCCCAGCAATTATTATTACGCTATATAATTCGGTCTTGTGGATATTATTCAAACTTATCACAGATTCAAGCTTTGTTTCATGAAATTACAGTACTTGCCTTAAAAATAAAACATCATAGGGGAAATAGCTCTAATGTTGGCCTTATGGATCTAAGATTGGGCCCATCGCTAAAAATCTGCTATTTATCAATTTTATCTAGATGAACGCGTCATTGGGCTAGTACGAATGGATATTTTTGGTCGCTATTGAAAATTTAGTCGATTGCTGAATTTACGTATCGGCCCAAATTAGGGGCATTTAGGCCGACTTACATCCATTTCCCCTATTCGTTCTTTACTGTCCAAAAAAATCAACGATCCGTGACCTCCTTCGGCTTTCTGATTGTTAAATATTGCAAATTCAGCGGTCAAGTGTTTCACCTAATTAGTTGAGTGTGTAAAATGTCTCCAAAGGAATTCCGGAGAAAATAAATGACGTTAATTCCAAAGGAGATTTTGAAGAATCTGAAACGGTTTAAAGATTCATAGGCTAACAGAAATATTCGAGATGCCGGACAATTTTGAGATTTTGAACACAACTTAAAATTACGTGCCTGAGACAAACCTATTTTCGAATCTCTTGAGTATTGAAAATTTAGTTAAGTTTCCTTAGAGTCTCAGATCTGAAGACATATTCGAGATACCTTCTTGGAAAAATTATCTGGGTTAATTGAGATCCGCAAAAACTGTGTCAAATTTAAAGCAATTTGGTTGTTATTTGGACTTGGATCGACTCACAGACATCAATCATACCCTTCTCATTAATATGTTTCAAGAAATTAATCGTTGCTTAGTTTTGTATTTGTATTGAACACTCTAAACAATAATTCATACTAAAGACTGGACTCGGAAAAAATGAGACAAACAAAAATGATGACCAAAAATTCATTTTAATCGGATACTTCTCAAATTTTCAGGGACTAAATAACTATATATTAACTATGTTTTGACATAATTTATTTATTTAATTTCCTCCCCCAAGCTGAATGCTCGTACATTTCTCTTAACACTGCTCATGAGATCTTGGGCGACGTTTTGCCCATCTTCCTTACACAATTTCTTCAAGGCTTCATCGGTTTTGAATGTTTTTCGGCTTTTCTTCAACTTCTTCTTCATTATCGCCCAAAACTTTACGATCGGACGAAGTTCTGGTGTATTTGGCGGGTTCGCCTCCTTCGGGACCACATTAACGCCCTTCGCTTCGTAAATCCATAACAGGCTTGGCGTAATGGCACGAAGCGAGATCCGGCCAGAACAGCGTGGGACCACGGTGAGAGCGGAGGAAGGGCAGCAACCCAGACAACCAGAATGCACGTATATTCAAAGTTGTTTTCACGATATACAAACATATATACAAACCAACAAATCGTATAGAATGCAAAGAAATGGCTTATACGTACAAAAGTGGAGGCCATATACGTGCAAATTTGAATTTAATTTTAAACGAGTAGATTTAACATCATATGCGATTTAATCTGTAATAACAAATTCACTTTGAAAAGTCTTACGATGTAATCCGATTTGATTTGTGATACAGTACGACGGAAAAATGAATCATCGCATATAGGTCGGAAATTTGTATTCTATACGATTTAACTTAAACATAATGCGATGCATGCCATTCTTATATGCGATTTTGACTTAAACTGTAGCAATTTACGACAATGTCTGCACATTGTTATACGACTTCTGGTTGTCTGGGAAGCGCTTCTGCAAGCATTCCTTTTGATAAATCTGCCCGTTTATGGTGCCGGTTGTAACGAACGGCTTGCTGTACCGTCCGCACTCGCAGATCGCCTGCCACAACAGGTACTTCTTCGCGAATTTGTCCATCTTTCTCTTCCGGAACTTTTCCGGAACCTCCATGCGGGACGTACCGACAAAAAACTCAAGGCCGGGGATTTGTTTGGTGTCCGCCTTGATGTATGTCTCGTCGTCCATGACGAGACAGCCTGGCTTGACCAGCCACTCACGGTACAGCTTCCGCGCACGCAATTTGGCCACCGTGTTTTGCTTGTCAGTCCGGTTTGGCGCCTTCCTGACCTTAAAAACACGTAGCCCAGCCCGCTTCATGGTCTGCTGGACGAACCACTTCGACGAATTGACCTTTTGGCCACGTCTCGGGTGGAAAGGTTCGGGTTATTCTTAAAGTACTACCTTGTCTTCCGCGCCTTCTCTGGGTATTCCGTTTTCGGTTTTCGGCCGCTTCCAGCGCGCCGCTCAATGGTCTTCGTCTCCTGGAACATCTTCACAACGCGGGACACGGTGGAATGGTGGATTTCAAGCCTTTTGCCGATCCATCTGTGCGACTGACCAGGATTATCGATCACCGCGCCCAAGATTTGCTGGCGTAGCTCTTCTTGTTTCGAATGCATCTTGAAAACTACTTGACAGATCGCGATAAAACATATACATAGCACTCTAAACTAGTATTACCCAAAATTTCATTAATTTTTACTCACGCGATAAAAAGTTACATCCAAAACAAAGTGTCGCATTCTTTCCGAGTCCAGTCTTTAGCTGATAACATGAAAAGAAAAAGAAAAAGCTTCACATAAACTGTCAGATTACAGAAGAACATTAGAGCAGTTAGTCCAGTAGCCTGGCCAAAATTTCTAGAGCCGGTCTCTGACAAAATTGTTCGGCTTACAAAGCACCCACTTTTTAAGGTATCTGTTTAGTTCTTGTTCCTACCGCCTAGAATGGACTCGATTTTATCTTTTAAATAGAACGTCCTAGGGAGAGGGTTTCTTGGGTAAAATTGTGAATTTCATAATATTGAGAAATGGTGCCCAAGACATCAAAGAACTATGATTTACTAAAAACAGGCCTACATAGAAAAAAATCCGCATTAAAGGCGTTTTCACCATTTTTTACGTACAAAGGTGAGAGTCTTGGTGGTGATACTTTGGGGTTGGGATAAGATGGAGCAACCAAGTGCAAGGAAACCTGCGGAGCATTTCGCAATAGTTAGTGAAGATTATGATCTGCATGGAACTAATTTCTGTAATGTTTAAATACGGTGAATTTTTGATCTAAATGTGTGTGTGTGTTTTTTTTTCCAGTGCACTCTGACTACAAATTCATCTTGTTTGTTTTTAGAATCCAGGAGAAGATGAGTTGTACAAACTCCCGGGTACAAACTAACTATTGACATATGGACTGAACTCAAGTAGTGTTGCAAGTTTTATCAAGGTTTTTAAGCATTCTATAAGCCCAAATCATGGACAACAAGGCTGTGATAGGGCACATGTCCCTAACCTCGGTCTAATATTAAGCCTTCAATTACATTCTATGAAATATCTTATTGAATAATTGAGCTGCAAACGTCATTTCATCGTCAACATGCAGATTTATTTTATTTCTTCTTTGATTTGTTTTCCGTTGATCTTGTTTTCCGTACTGAGTACCAATGCAATCAACGCTAGAGAGGCAGCTCCCACACCTGGACTCTACATATCTGTCGTGACTAGACCGATGTTTCCAGCCTCGGTCACGGTTCCACGAATCTGCCGTTCAGCTGGTGGTCCGATGTAGTAACAGGACCGAGGTTTCCAGCCACAGTCACGGTTCCACGAATCTGCTGCTCCCTCTGTTGGTCCGCTAGTGCCGCTATCCCTTTTGCTGTTGGTTCTTTGCTGGTCGTCCGCTCCCTCCACAGTCCGTCATAATAATTTTGTAGTTTAAATGATCTTTATTTCAGTTTAACTTGGATGTTTACCATATACATTTTTCTAAGTGATTTAATTGCTTTCTTCATCTTTAGGTATGGGCAAAATTTAAAATTTGTTTTACAGAATTAGTCCTAAACTTAGTACACGGTCGACCACCTTGGTGGGATTGGTTCGTTTTGTTTTTAGAATTTGAAGAGAAACTACTTAATACAACTATTTACAGCTTAAAACTAACCAACTCTACTATATACACTTAACATACTATGTACAAATTGCTTATTAAAGCATGTTCGGAAAGATTGCATTTTTGGATAAATTTGGTTGTCATATCCTCAATTTTGGAATCTACTTTGGGAATTTCTGCCTCTTGATGGAGGTCTGCTATTCTTGTGTCGAATGGACGATCTAGGATCATCCTCAAACTCTATTCTGTGCAACCTGGATTTTGTTCCTGTGGGTCTGAGCGCACGATTCCCACACCGGGGCGGCATAGAAGATCGCGGGGGCTATGATCTGTTTGTAGACAGCCAGTTTGTTTTGCCTTGAGAGGCGGGATCTGCGGCAAATGAGCGGATACAAACACCTAACCAAGGCGGAGCTCTTAACTAGGGTTTTCTCTATGTGCGAGCGGAACAGGAGCTTCTCATCGAACAACATCCCGAGATAAGTAACATCAGCGGACCACTCGACCCTTGTACCATCCATTATTACGGTACAGGAGGGAGACGGTTTAAGTTTTAATGATTGTCTGTGAAGGAACATGATCGCTTGGGTTTTCGAGGCGTTGATTTTGATTTTCCACGTGGTGGCATAATCTGTAAAGGTGTCAAGGCATCGTTGGAGCTTGTTCGTAATTTCACGAGGCATCCTACCCTTGACGGCTATCGCGGTGTCATCTGCGAACAGGAAGAACACGTAACCGTCTCCTAGAGGAGGGATGTCCGACGTGTAGATGCTGTAAAGCAGTGGTCCCAGCAGACTCCCTTGCGGAACACCTGCTGGGATCGGAAATTGTCCCGAAAGGGAGCTATTCAACGACACCCTGAACGACCTTTGCTGGAGATAGTTACGGGTGATTTTCACAAGGTATGGTGGAAAGTTGGAGTTACAAAGCTTGTATATAAGTCCGTCGTGCCAGACATTGTCAAACGCCTTTTCGACGTCTAACA